ATATTGTTTATAAGTGGCCAGTTCTAAGAACTTTCAGTTTGACCCTCGTATAATAAAATTTCAGTCACCTATCCGATTACAAATACACTAGCCACGATGCCATCGTGCTCCTCAGAGCTTTCACTGTAATAGTCAGTGTAACAAGTGGCTCATACACATAATGTTATGGCGTTCGGAAACAATGAGTTGGGGAAGAATGAACTGTGTACCGTTTGAAGACGACAATAGATAATAATATTACTCTTAGCACTTGTATGTGCATGTGCTTTAATACAACATAAATACATGCTCGTAGTAAACCTATGCAATTTGTAGTTGACATGCATTCACTAATTAGCTAACAGTATACTTCAAACAATTAGAAAGGTCGTGGGAAAACATGGGCCATTAGGCTAATATGCACTATAATGCAACTTAAATTAATCTACGCAATCTTCAGTTTGATTTTTGATCTAGCAAGTTGGCAAAGTTAACTAACCTGCAGTCTTGCTTCGTTAATACATAAATACGTATTTATTACATAAAACCCCAGAATTTTCCGAAAACTTTAGACACGAATATTACCAGAAACATTTTCCGAAAAATATTTACGTGTATTATCTTCTGACATTATACCAAAGCATTGGAAACATTAATAAAGTACGATTGGACTACATTAAATGGAATGGCTGGTAATGAAATGGCTTTTGACGAAAACGCAACACTTTCGACATCTAATCTTCTTATTATTTAAACAATTCTCATCCAGGACAACGCCAAGCCCACGTCGCAGAAGAGCGCATCAACAGCTCGAATGGGAGGTGGTTCAGCATCCCCTGCATTCTCCGAACCTTGCACCCACGGATTATAATAATTTCCGCGTCATTTACTATTCCATTGTTACATTCTACATATTATTTTAAAAACTGGCTCAACAATTTTTTACCAGACCGGTAGATTTTGGCGAAATGTCGTCGATAAATTGGTTGAGATGTGGGAGGAGGTCGTAACACATTATAGATTTTTATTTTTAGTTAAAAGTCTTCGCTAAAAACGCTTTCGACTTTTTCCCTTGCCCGATAGTTTTATGTATTATTTTACGAGGAGGAATACCCTGAAGACACTGTAATGAGCGCCTTTAGTCTGCAATTTCAGATGTTAGTAACTTTCACGAAGGTAGACCATCCATCAGAAGGGCACAATTTCTTTATAAAGTATTCTATATACAACATCCACCCATCCGCACTGGACCCGCGTGGAGAACGTATTTATTTGTTTATTCTTTACTACGAAACTACACCAACTGGTGGTCATAATGCAAAAGCATTTCTTTACCAGAATTAGCGTGAATCATATTTCCCAGCGGCAGGGTAAGCGGGAGGATTATTTTATGACTTCAAATGTATTTGAAGACTCATTTAATAGAACTATTGAAAACTAGGTGCCCTTCACAAATAATAGTAAATACACACTAATTAAAAGTAATCTTTATAATTTTGCGATAATAGAAGATATGCATTCTTCAAATGGAATATTTAGAACAAGGCTATAGGGGAGCGATCGCGCTCGTCAACTGATAAGCTAACAAAGTATGCGAAACAACGTTTTGAAGTGACTTAAATCATTAAATACTAGTGGTTTACCAGCAACTTCGCCCGCGTAAAATTATAATCTATGATTTAGTTTTTTGTAGGTGAAAAAAAAAATTAGTAAGACCATCTAAAGTAGATCGAGCAGCCTGCTCGATGCAAACAAACAATCAAATGTCCTCTTTATATTTATTAGTATAGAAAATAACTTCTATAAATATATAGAAATTATCCGCTTTAGAATTTATGGCTCGTCGCCCTAGAGTGACTCCAGTGGTGATGGCAAACTACTCAACGCAAAATCAAGAATCAAAATTTATTTGAAACTTGCGCATCTATCCGCACCGATGAAAGAGCGTACCGATAATTTTATGCTTTACATTATTATTAAGGCGTAACAAAAGCAATTAGTATCATTCCATTTCTATCATAGATAGGTAATATAATAATTATAATTAGTGTAATTATTAATTATACTATCGATATCTTGTAAGTATTTTATTGAGTAGAGAAGAGCGTCTACAACTTATACGCGGGTTAATAATTGATCACGGACCCATTTATTATATTGCATTTTAGGGTGATAGTGACGGCGTGATGCAGTTTGAGGACTTTGACTATATATTATTAAAATATCATAAAGAGGCTTCAACGATTTTTTAAAAAGGTGGTCTGTAACACAAAAATTAGATCGAAATAATAAATGAGCTTTATGGTTTTCAAAAGTCAATTATGTATTATACACCACAACTGAATATCAATCTGATATGCGTAAATAACGACTACAATTGTTCGTTCACTTGAACGTTCGTTCGTTCGTTCGTGTCACGTGAAATTCTTCTGGTCGATGCAATTTCCTATTTTTTCGCGGGTAAAGATGATATAGGTACCTAAGCATAACTGATTAAAAAAAGTAGAGATGTTTTATATAATTATGTAACACAAAACTGTTTAAGAAATATATATAGGTATACTGGGTATTACTTTTTTCTGTGATATATTGTGATTGCGCGCCTTATTGATAATGGCCTGCGGGCCGGTTGCGGCACAAGGACTGTGACTTTGCGACTCCTCTACGGAATGTCACTGAAACAAAATTCTTTGATTTTACTTAAGAACTAATTATCTTCCATTAAGATTAAATAACGCCTTTAGGCTCTAACGAATGTCAAATTTGTATCGAAATGTCGGTTTAAACTATTGACAATTTTAATAGACTTTAGTGCAACTGGCTGTTACGCCAATTCAATAATTAGAACCTAACGACGTCATTAAAACTTAATGGACGTTTGCGCAAATGATCGTAAGAGAATTAGTTCTGGAGTTAATTAAAAGAATTATGTTTCGATGCCGCATCCGGTCCGCAGGCGATATCAACACGGATCACAATCACAAAAAAAATCTAGTCTTAATGTTTTTTTTTATTTTTTTTTATTTGAACCTGGCCTGCCTACACATTGGGCTTGTCCCCAGCTTGTCTAAATTTAATATATGGCTTTATGTAAAATTTAAGAATGACACTCCTGTTTTATAACTGGAACGGTGTGCCGTACCACCGTTTATTTCGTCCTAGGTTTCCGCATGCAAACATTTTGTCTTTGATCTTCAACATTATTTATTTTTATTATTCATTTTATGTTATTTGAATTTTTGAGTTATCTAATATGTTCTTTATAAATGTCAGTTCGTGAAAATTCGTCGCGTTAGAAACATTATATATACTTAATTTCAATCAATAGCAATTTATTGCAGTGTTAATATATTACCTATTTATTATTACCTGTTGTAAATGTATACTATATCCAATAAAATATAATAAAGTTAAATTACTCACCAAACCCGAAGAAACAGTTTTTTTTATTACCCTCAAATAAATCAAATTCTCAAACTTAGTTAGCCTTCGAACCTATCTCACAACTTTATAATGAAACAAAACGATATCCAAAGTGTCCTCATCATCATCGCCAGCCAGCAGTTCCCACTGCTGGGGCTCAGAGCACATGGTGACAAAAACCCCCATTTATTCATTCCAATCTCGTAAAGTGGTAGCGTTATCTAATAACGGTTAACTCACCTCATCAATTGCTTACCCTCATTACCTTGGCGCGAAACTATGCACACGCATGAATACCTGTAACAAATGAATCGAGACTTTAACATAAATCTATACAGGAGCGACGCGACTTTACTTATTTTTTTTATAATTTTGATATTGTTGGATTTTACGTCATCGCCGGCTTATCAATAATACTGGGAACAAGCCCACAGGCCTTCCATAATGATGGCAAATATAAGCAGTAAGCTGACTCTAATTTCAAAATCAATCGAATATACATCGTATTGTTTTATGGCTGTATAAGAAGATGCCTTTGTGTACTTCTAAGTTTTATGTAAAAGAATTTGGTTCTCTCTCTCAAGTGAATCTTAAATATTTATGGCTTTATTAATTCAAAGTCTATAATACAACATGTATGGAATTATGTAACGGTTAAAATCGCAATTGTTTTCGGAAATCATTTGAATGATCTAGAAACATAATAAAATTTCTCGATAGCTTTAAAATTAATATTTACCTACGTCTATCGCTTGCCTTAGGCAATTTCAATGAACGTCAAATTTACGATGTCTTTCATACATAAAATGTTTTTCAAAAAACCTCGCAATCGCAATGACATGTTAAAGCGTGAAGTATATCATTTAATTGTCTAATTGCTTGGGATTGCAATAGAATATAAAATTCGACAATTAGGCCCGATGCTCGAGGATGCAGTGGTTAGTATGGCCTGAGACTGATCATAAAATTGTTACATTAAGTAGGCATAGTAGCAATTTTAATATTGTACACAAGACACGCGTAGGATAACTATAAGTAACGCTGGAGCTGAACCTAAATAAGACTTATTTTTGTATGAAAGCAAAATGTAACGAATAGCCACACGACTCGTATAACAAGCAAGTTTTTAGTCAGTATATAAATAATGCTGGGTGTTGATAGAAATTGAATCGAAATAATCGACCGACTCTGTAGTACTTTGAGCTTGAGCTTCTTAAGTATTGGATCAGTTTGGATTCGTATATAAAATAAAATAATACAAAATATGCTCGGTATATAAGAAGAAATAGGTATCCCACGCAGACGAAGTCGCGGGCACAGCATTATATACATATTCTGAAGATTAAATGAAGTGAGGTTTATTTTAATTGTATATGCTTACATATTAGTTAACAGTAATCAATTGCAGTGAATTAGATACAGAAGGCCTAACTGGGTAACTAACATAACCCACCAATCCCACCTTATTTTTTCTAAGACTCTTTCTACCTTCTCGTTTGTTCGATAAGCAAACAATGGTCAAGGAGTCCTCTTTATCCCGACGTCCTTGAAGCAACGGGATAAACGGACATACGGACGGCTAACACAGTTAGAGTCAATAACTAGGTCACCATATATAAAGCGTTAAGTTCAAGGCGGCTGGCTCATTGCAAGTCGAACGCTCAGACAAGCAACAAGCACTTTCCCAAGTGACTGTAACAAGTGAAGAGTATCAGAAATATCAGTGACAGTTCCGTACTCCGAGATTAAAGGTGAGTTTATTTGCTTTAGTGACGTGCCGTGTAAAGGACAGTGTTGTGACAGTGACTACGATGGAACATGTGACCGATTATGATATTATGTGATTTTTCCCAATAGTGATTCCGTGGTGACTTTTTTTTAAGTGATTTTAAAGTAAAAATTAAGCGTATTATGACAGTTATTCTATTTTAAAAGCAAACCTAATAAATTAGGTATGTTAATTATTTGAAAATAAAAATTAAACAATGAAAGCCTAATAAAAACCTTTCTATTTAAAAATAACAAATATAAATAAATTATTGTTTATTTACATATACGTATAATTAAATTCCTCGTATACATTTACCACAAAATCACTATTTTATCATAATGTGCACGTAATTTTTTATTTTTAACGCATATAACCACGTACTTTAAGCTCTAATGATATAATAAATATGAAAATTCATATCGGTAATGAAGCTTTAAACTAATAAAACTTAATGGACGTTTGTGCCTCTCGGTGTTAAGAATATATAATTTTAACAGTCGTTATTCCTTCAAGATTCCACCTAAAAAGGATTTAAGCGGAATGAATTTTATAATTATGCGTTAACTTATTAGTATAGATGCGTATAAGTGACGAGATAACAAGACGACATCGCGATACCGCCGAACACTGTTACGGACAGAAAAGCATCATAACGTTTTATGTAGTATAAGTCACGAAAAATACTTTTAATATCATTATTTTTCATTATAAAAATGTTATAAGTGGAAAAAAATAATACCTTCCGATAAATTTAGAGATTTTTGTTTTATCTGAAACCAATCATAAATTCAGATTTTAAGAGTTCCAATTAAATTCAGTGTCATTAGCTCTATTATAATTTAATTGTGCCCATGCCCGATGCGTCAGTTTAAAATTTTTATTTAGGTGATATAAATAAAGTTCTCTTCTAGTAAATCCAAACAATTTAAAGGACAATTTTTGTAATATTTTCTTTCCGAAAGGTCTTAACATATTCTCAACTTATTTTAAAAAATAAAATAAGAAACTTAAATATTCTCAATTTTAATTTCCTTCTTAATAATAATGTTATCAAAACAGGATATTTTGTTTATGATACTATGATTTTATTATATCTAAATTATATCAATCAATATAAAGAATAAGTTAATATCGAGTCGATCATATGTAGATATCCGTAACTAAAAGGATAGATTCATCTTCTTTTAAGATTTTGAAATGTAAAATTGGCTCAGATTACAACTTCGGACGATGTTACATAAAAAAAAAACACGACCATCTGAAGCATGCGAACCGAATATACGTAACTAAATAATTAACGGCACGTGGTCTGTCGTTACAAAGGCATTAGTCACATATTTCACAGCTTCAAAATTCGTACGCTCTTCTTGACGCGCTTTAGACATGTAAATATGAACGTTCACTTTCTAAAATGTGAAAATGTTTGTACACACGTAACATTTCGGGCATCGAATTTAGCACGCTTTTAAAACAAATGAATAGATTGTATAATATTAGGTGTCGGTTGTATCATACTTTCGAAATCGTTTTCCATGTCCGATGATTCTACACGAGCCAAAATATCAAGAAACAACTCTTGCAGAGTTATAGTTTTTCACTATCACAAGCACATGTGATAAAATTTAACAGCCAAAACTTAACAAACAATTATCTCGGATAAAAAATCTTCACTCGAACATCTCGCATATCTTACATTTATGAAGGTAATGAATTGCGGATTAGCAACGGTAGACTTATTTATAAATGCTTAACAAATAGAGTGAAACGAAACGTTTCGTTCTGTGGAATCATGTCTTTTTTGTCTAAGAAAGCGTTAATGATAAAGGATGACTCGTTTCTCACGGCACCAATGTCAAGATCACGATACAATAAGAGGTGCCATGGTGTTCACGAAATAGCTTATTGTCTTTAAAACTAGATATATTCCCATAATGACAAATGACAACGTAATCAACTTAAAACACACGCTACTAAAATATAGATTATTTATGTCAATTTAAAACAATTACGAAGAGTGGATCTTTTTTTATTTGAAATTCATAAATTTTATATCAAAACTGAGCCAGTGGTAAAGGCATCGATTACAGTATTGCAGACTTTTTCAGTCTATTTTTTTGGTCAAACTTTAATCATCTAACTCGTTTAAACTTGGTAATATCAATGGGTACCAGCCTACAGCCCTAGCCTACTAAAGAGGGCTCATTTTGCTTTGGGGCCAAAGCAAAAGAGGTTGTTACATTTCAAAACAGATTCTGTATTATATTCAAAGACTGCTGCTGCAGTTAAAAAGACCGTGTTGCATTAGTTAATTACATTGAGGAGACTGGATGAGACAGATTAGAGAAAGATATCAGATAATTGGCTCATGTCATCTAATTTTTAGATATCTTACCAAAATCTTTGTTTTAAATAAGTCCAGAGTATTTGTCTTAGGTAGTTTTATTCCAGCTTTTTATTTCTGAGCGGTCATGCCTTCTACATCTTTTCATCTCACACCGCAGCGAAAACTTATACGACCAAGTTTAGAAAGCGATGGTTTTATATATCAGTATATTGATCTTGAATTGATCTCGTCGTGCGAACATGAGAAACCGACACTATTATTATCGATCGAATATAATAGAATGACTTTTATGAGCGCAATTTTATAGGAGCGTGTAATATCTATGTTTAATTGGAATAATGGTTTATTAATTCTTGGACTATTGAGCCATCAAACACATACTACAAAAACATATCGATGTATTTCTTAAGGTCTCTAAATAAAACTGAAAAATCCACGGAATCGTAGCCGCCTAACCGCCAAATGTTTTTTATTATATTATTTTTCTATGATTATCTAAATAATCATTTTAATACACTTTACTATAAGAACACAAGCAAAGTTTATATGCTTCTATAATAATATATATAACAACATAATATGACGACGGACAGGTTCAGTAATTAAAAGTCTGGTCAGTGCGCACGTCGAAAGTGCCGATGAAAGCTGTCGCGTTTTAAATGGGCAGCAGTATTGCGTGCTAACTGCAATACTCACGTAGTTTCTCGAATACACTTGCCTCATAAGAGGAAAACGCATCCGAAACGAGATTAGCGAATGACACACAAAGAAAACAAAACCATAACTATAGGTTCTTTAGAGAAAATTCTATAATAATTATAACACGTCATATATTTTTTTCCCACCTTAATATTGATGTAATCATAAAATACATTCCAAAAATTAGTATAATGTCATTAAAAACGATATCTATAAACCTAATATCCCATTACGTAATTAAACTTATTAACATCGAGTGCGTTCAAAGCGGAAAACACAAATCACACGACAATCGTCGAAACTCTCAATTATTAATGTGATCATCTCGCAACACCGCCGGCTCACGTGGCCAAAAAACAGACGAAGTGAAAGTTCCGGCGACCGACGAAAGGAATCTCGGCTGCGATTGGGTAACAACAAATTTTAAAAAGAAAATTATACGACGGTACGCCCGGTGATCATTATAGAACGCATCGGTCTTAGCGGATGAATGTTGTAATGATTTTTAGGGTGTTGAAGATTATTATTAAAATTGTAGTATATATCGTTAATTACGACAGGTTCAACGCTACATATTACTACATAGTATAAAACAAAGTAGTTTTCTCTGTCCCTATATGTCTAAATCTTTAGAACTACGCAACGGATTTTGATGCGGTTTTTTTTCATAGATAGGGTGATTCAAAAGGAAGGTTTTTATGTATAATACAAAACCACGCTGGCGAAGCCACTGGCGGAAAGTTAGTTGGTAATAAGACATTATTCCCAATTAAACCAGTTTACGATTCCCGTTGTACGGTACAGAGGTACAGAGACACAGTATGAAATATGTAAAATTTTGACACCGTAATTATTATTCAAGATCTATAATTAATATATTCGCAGATTCGGAAACGTTTAGTTATTTAAAAGTAATATAGTTTTATTATTTATAAGCATATAGCTTGCATTAAATCGATACAAACAAACATCCACACTTCAGCAATTTTCTTGTTAATTAGCTCCTCCAATAATGTGACTGAATGTGTAGTCTAACTGTAAAGCACTATTAAGAAATAACGCTTGCTTGGATTTAGCACATGTATTTTATATAGCTTTGCCGGCTCAGTATGTTAGCATCGAGTCATATACAGCAACCTAATGTCTCAAAAATCTTATTTATGACAATTTAATTTATCTCTTGACAATTTAACTTTTGTTTTGTTTTGACATCTACATTGTGACATATTTTATCATTATTAATTCTAATTTTTTAATTCTTTGACATTTATTGTACTTAATTGAAAATTACCAGACAATTAACATTAATTTTATATACTTATGATTATTTTTAAAATAAAAATTAGGGACGAATGTGAATTTAAATGAAATTTTATGAATGTAAGATATTGAGGAAAGTGAAGATATAGATTTTATTTAAAGCATTTACTATTTACAATGAAATTTTAATTTTAATTTAAATTTGCTACACCCCCTTACAGGGTGTCACATAAACTGTACCTAATAATAACACCTGTTTTACTATGTGACATGCAATAAATGAATTATTATTATTATAATTATTATTTAACTTCTATAAGTCAATCGTACCGGCCTACTAACAGTGTTTTTTATCATATTCATATTATCATAAGTATACTTGCTTCATTATTATAAACAAGATAATTGTCAACATGAGCTTTCCCACGTGGGATAGGTGAAAGATAATGCAGTGCATTGCAATTTAAGTACGATGACATTTATTTTTATCTTTATAAAAGGCAGCGATTTTATTAACTAATTTAATTTACAATGTACCTATTATAATGGAAATAAAAAAGGATCTCCGATCGCTCTTAACGCTTAACTATGAACAAATTCGCTTATTAATAAAATGTAAGGCGAAGGTAGGTAAATTTTTACACGACAATACGGGTGTCGATAGTATACGACAATAAATAAATATTATTTCTTTTCCAGTAGTGTTTAATATACTGTTACCGATAATGACACTTTTATGCTTATTTATATATATCGCTTAAATTAGTTAAGAAAAACGATATTAGTTTCAATCAGGGAGCCATGACGTCACAGCGACGCCATAAAAGAAGTGGCGTTTTTGCGGGAAATTTTAAGATTTTAACTTATTATTACATATGAATGATTTTTTTTTTATAATATCCGAATTTTTTCTTTATTTTCGTTTTTAACGACTTATGTCGATGATCTTGATGTTGCCGGTGGTAGCATTAACCGAGAACTTTAATATAATCAATTTAAAGCAGATAATGCAGAGTCCAACGGATTTCATGGATACGGTACAGTTGTGCACGTTACTAGAAGCACAAAATAAAATTCAAAATCATTCATTCAGTCTAGGCTGTAACATGCACTTGTAAATGTATATAATAGAAAAAAATCATTAAAATTAACGAAAAACAATATAATTATCTTTCACACTTATCCATAGATGGCTAATTCAAGTCCGGCTCGAAGGGCCACCATGTTGTGATATCTCACACAGACATTCTATCATAAATTAAAATATTAAAAACGAATAATATACTACTTAGGTAGCTATAACACTAAAATACAATTGTTGAGTAAGAACCGAAGTTAGATTAAAACCGAACTATAATACAGTCTTAATAATTGCATTGTGGTAATTTTATGAGCTGTGGGTAGGTATATTTAAAAATATTCCTTAAACTTATGAAAATTTTCCCATACAGAATAGGCTAGGTATGTACCTTTAGATAGGTTTTAAATAGACTTGGACTAGCTTAAAAATAGATTTTTTTGTGTTGTTACTGTAGATTACTTAATAGTTTTCAACACGATATCTGAGCAGATTTTAACACTCAATAAATCTGTTACGAGACACTTATAAAGCAGTATAAATAGATGCAACCCGTGCAGTTTTGTGTACGACAGTACTGTAACAAGTGTACCGTATGATCTGTTCACATCTGCGGACGTAACGGTGCGTGCACACTTCCCCGCTAGCTAATACTGCAGTATGGTCTATTGAATCGATCGGTACTCAACAAACTAGTTATCCGATCAATCTGTAATCTTGATAGGCGAAAGATAACCGTTTCTAACAGGATTTTATATTAGTTTAATATTACAAAGTTATGTATGCTATCATACTCAACGCCATTAATTTTAAAAATAATTATAGTTATAGATAGATACATATTTCTTTAAGACTGATTTTTGCTGCGATTGCTAATACATTTCGATGATACTCGTGATAATAATATTGTGATCATTCTTGACTTTATACGTTACTAGTTATTTACCCGCGACTTCGCCCGCGTAAATTATAGCCTATGTTATCCACGTATAATGTAGCTTCCCGTTGGTAAAAGAATTTTCAGGTCAGTGTTTTCGAAGATTACCTCAAACAAAGAAAGTTAGAAACTTTACCACTTCATAAGAAATTTACTCATTAAATATATATTTTTTTATTCATTAATATTGCTATCCACTTATTATCTTACATTTAAAGTCCACCTACCGCATCGCTTTTAAAAAAAGAAACAAATATATAAAATTACCAAGTTACTTTCACTCATTAGTTTACGAAGCACATGGTAACGATCAAGAGATTACTATCATTACTTTAAAGAAAAATCAAGTTATAATTTTTTCGTTCACTAGGTATCCGTTATTCGTTCATTCTATCACAGATACTTTAATACGATTGAATAAAGTGACCATTGACAAACGGCAGCTGACATGCAAACTCTTTCTTGATTGTCTATTGTTTATATTTGTATTTGGTTACGTTACATTGTTATCTTTAATTATCACATTATAAGAATCTGTCCTTCGGTCTAAATAATTGAAGCAGCGACATATATCTTTACCAATATTATAAATAGGAAAGTATAATTGTCGTTTGCATTGAGTACCAACGCTCCAAAACTACTGGACCGATTTTAAGTATTCTTTCACCTACGGGAATTTGCATCATAAATTAAACAAGATTAGTTTTGATCAAGCATTGAGCACACCACTTAGAATGAGTACACAAAGTAGTTAATTGTAATATGCAAAAAATATACATAATATACTATTAATTTGTTTAACTCTCAACTTTTTAAAGCTACACTTGGTTGACGGTGTTTGTTTCACAGTTAATTATTTTAAAACGTAACTTTACATAGTTAATTAATGTTCACTATGAAACTGTTTGTTAATCCAAATAAACTAAAAATAAATAAATGCTTAAAATACAAAATCAAATCAGTAAAAACATAGGTACAGTTATAGGCATCCATTCGCAAGCATCCATCGGCGTTCATATCCGTGTACGAATCACGCACATCGACGACGCACAGTTTAGAAAGCGGACTGCGCGGTGGACCGGTCATCGAGTGTAAAAACCACCCAAAAAATGCGGAACACCAAATAAGAAAATGCTACTCAAATATTTCTCTTCAAATGTACAACTTACGGACAGATCATTCACATTATATTGAAAAGCAGAAATAAGGAAACGATTGCTCATTCAATATTCAGAAGATATAAGCTTTTTGTTTTGAACGAAGTTTAATTTTGGAATCTAGAAAAAATCATTTTAAATTTTCCAAAGATTGACATCTAAATTGGACGTTTAAAAACGGCGCGAATCGTTATTGTTAACTATGTCAAAATCAACATAATTTTTCAAAGAGGCCAACGGCCAAATGAAAACCCCGCCTTGATGACAAAATTATTGAACATATGCTTTCAATTTCTCTACCCCTCAGTGTTTCACACAACACGCGGAGAGAAGCAAAATTGTCGTCCAGAGAAATCTGTTATTCTTATTTTTCCACGGTGAATTTCCGATGAAAGTATGGAGCTAGTTGGTTCGTAATAGCAGGTCCAAGTCCTCAAACCGAAATTAGAAAAACGGTAACCTTCCAAGGCGGTGTACCGGCGCACACGCAACTAGCCGCTTGCTTTCACCGGGCGCCATGTTAGCCGCGCCTCGTTCTGCGTTACTAGACAATATAATTATACTATATATTCTACAATGTTTTAAAACTCTGATAGAATGTTTATAGACTGACCTCCATGGAATATTGGACTAATAAATTATAGACGCTAAATAACGTTATGTCAACATTTATCGTTGAAATTACCTGCTAATTAATAAAAATTACGCATTTTATTTTTCTTCTGAGATTTATATTTAAATTCATTTTGTACTGGAAAACCAAAAAGGCAACCAATAACGTTCTGGTTGGTCAAAAACGCATAATTTCATACAGATACAAAAAAGGTTAATTGATAAATTGCTAACAAATTAGCGTTATTGTTATGCCTGCAATGTATGTAGGTCGTTAGCATTAAGATCCGCTTCTATCGAAAGTGAGGTTAGTTTCTCGTTGCACCGCGAAGTTCAATCGCATGCGCCAACGCATCGCCACTGGGTCACGGGGTCGACCACTGCACCCGGCCATAATCATTGACAACAAACCTTCTAGGGTATCGAAAGCGAATGATACCGTTACAATATTATTTTTGGTTAGAATTCAGCTAGGCTCCATTGAAGTTACTTTACAATACGAATTTCCGAGCATTGTGATTCGATAAATACTGCTTGCTTACACTATGTAAGCACTAAACATAAGTCACTCTCGGATCTTATAATGACGACAAATTTCTCCGGAAAGAATCTCGACTGTCGCGCTATCACCGCCGACCGGTGCACCAGCATTATAAATAAACACGCAGCCAACGGCCGAGCAAACATTTCACGGCTATTACAATTTCCTTCAAATGACTTCTGTAAACATCGACGACACCGTGACATAACAACCTTCAAATTTGAACATCATGCAGCGCGCAGGTGTCAAACAAACAGAATTAGGTCGGAGAAAGTAGTAGCGGTCGCTTCGTAACGATCAAGATATACGTTAATTTATTTAGTTAGCAATCTTACTAAACAGGTGTGACATCTGAGCTACAGTTAGAAAGACCGGGTCACCTGCATTTAATAGTCGACAGAGTAACTGCTAGCATACTTATACCGGATAGTGTTGCACTTGTTACACCGTAAATGCTAAATAATGTAACAGCGAACGCAAACGGTGTTCGTGAACTGCCGCCGCTATAATGGCCGCTCAATTATACAGTTTAGAAAAGTAAACGACGCCTTGTAATTAGTCGTAGTTTCAGAAAATACAGCGAGACGATGTAAGATGCCACTTTCACGACAAGTCTAAAAGTAGCCAATGAATCTCCAAGAATCGCTCATCATAACACTTTCTAATGAAGTGGATAGTACGAATAAATTAAAAGTCTGTTCGTTTAAAACGTTCATCAGAATCATAAAGATTACTTTCTTTTATATTCTTTTTTCAAAGCGCTTACTTACCTTTTGCATTTGTTTACAGAATGCATCAGAAGGTGGCAGGCTGGGCGCTCTTGGCCCTCATCAGCTCAACGACGATCCTCCATACGATTGCGTACCCGCAACATGTTCCTTTAATATCACAGGTATAATACTTACTATTTACCTACACGTTATTCAGATGCGATATTTTATTACATTTTTTTAGATATGTACAACTGATTTAACACGTGATTTAAAGCTTTAGTTTGAACGAATTTAACTTCGCAGGCAACAAGCAACGTACGGACGCAAAACCCTCAATACTACAGTAACGTGTACCCTGTCGCCCAGCATGAACAAATTTCTCAAGAACGTAAATTCGCCGAGAAGCCCAACGCTTTGAAGAAAGTCGCTTTAGATGATCTCGACGACATACAGACAAACTCTATCTCTGATAGCGGATTTTCTTGGTCTAATATGTTAGGTAAGTTAACTATATCTTTCGTTCTTTAGAATCATAATTAATGGGTTCCAATAAGAGTACCTTGATTATCAATAATATTGATAACTGTATTATTACAGGAATGATCATGCAAATGCTTTTCAACCCCGGCACAACTGGACCTAACAAGAGTGACAACATTGACACGGAGTCTGTTGCACCATCTCCATGGGCCAACTTACTCGCCATGGGTCTGAAGATACTTACCGCCGTCCTCGGAGGAGGGGGCGCCAGCGACGGTATCGACAAAGTCGACAACGGCTCTTCGCCTATGCAGGTATTAACTCAATTTTAATCGGCAAGAAGCATGTCTTAAAACATGACATCATTAAAGATTAATATTAGAAATTCTTCTTGATAAAATTGTACAAATAGTTAACTTTGCAATAATTTATAACTATCCATACTGATCTACTAACATCCATAATGTAGATATTTATATTTAAAAAGTTTTCAGTCACTGCGATAGTGTAAAGCACCTTGCAAGTTTACCCTCACCTGTAGGTATCGTTGTATCCAAGTGTACTGGTAGCATAGACAAACCATAATTCACAATAATATAAAGCTTTCGATGTGGAACTACCTCATAGGAAGACGATTGTGATAGGTTATTGTAGTAAAAATATATACATAATCGTTTCCTTGAGGTACTCCCACTGTCGGAGTGTAAATAGTAAAGTTTGGTTACGGAGACGGTTTCGCTTCTCGCTTGCTTCAGGGTATATTGGCTGCGGTACTGTCGACGATGCTCGGTACAAAAGACCCCGACCAGGTCGCCTCCATGGCAAAGCAGGCTGGAGAGGTACGAAACCCACCCTTCCTTCTCCTTTTAATGAGCTGATATGATCATAAACGCATTTTAACTTTAAGGTAAAATTTGTCCATTTCATTGTTAGATAACTCAAATCCATCTATATATCGATCTCGTATCGTTTTAAGATTTTTCCTGTTGATAATTAAGCTTCTGTTTCCATTTGCAGTTCATAAACATCGTGATGAACCTTCTCGACGCTCTTAAGACTTCCTTCTCGCACCGTTCGTTGACCGCGAGGTCTATGGGCCGTAAAGATTCTGTCAGTGACGCCGCGCTCGCCGGCATCGCCATGCTCAAGACTTACGTCAGATCATTCGGCACCAACGACGACAAGTGCCTACAGAAATACGTGTGCGACGCCAACAATGAATGCTCCTCTGACATCGGCCCCAAGAGTGTTTTCTGTCAACTCGGAACGTGAGTATTCCTCGGTCCTTGTTTTTCAGTAATGTCACCTTAAAATTATCCTTGTAAAATTCCAATATCTGTTCTCTATGTTGTCTATATTGATTGACATTGTTTTTCTGTTTGGTTGCAGTTACGCAGCGAGCTTCGTGTTAGAAAGGCAGTCCGGTGGCACATTCGAGCAATTCACGGAGGCAGGCCGCCGCGGTCGGTCCGGAGTGGACTGTCGCCAGATATACCTCCAGTGCAACGAAGTTTAAATTTAACATATACATCGTTAATCCATATCCGAATATAACAAACTAGAAACGATGTGACATTGATGTAACGAATTTAAAAAAAAAACAAAGGGAATTGGACACTTTAAATTCCATGATATCTGGTGATCGATTATGATAGAAGTTAAACGCGAGCCGCAGATTTGTCATTTCAAAATTATCAACATCGTAATATGCGATTTTGTTGTCTCGAAATGAAATTAAGTATACGGGGGGTGTAGAGTTGGTGCCTTAGGTTGGATTGTGCTCAAAATTTCTCCTGTCAATTATGAGAGTGCCGCTTAGTGTTTTATTAATTTATTTAAATTATTTATTTATTTAACTTATTCTAGAAGTTAATGAGTAGGCAAACAAAGATAATGTGTACCCTAATAGGATGATTAACTGTTCCGTCCAGTGAAGCTTTTTGCAGTTAAATTTCAGTTATTGGCACTATGTTTGTATTTAAACGATTAAAATGTTCCGCCAGTTTCTCGATAATTAACGACTGATGTAAAATAAATCTGTGTGATATAAATAATAATTTTATATCACTTTATAGTTTAGTATTGTATATTTTGTGTGATCGTATGAATGAGGACGTCCTTGTATGTGTGTGATGTGAAAATAAAAAAATATAAATTAAGCATTGCATTTTTAATCCCTTTGTCTATCACGGTACCCTTGTCTTAACAAGTAAAGATAACAAAGACACGTCATTTTCTTGAAGACTTTCCGCGCTAAGGAGCACTAATTTGATAGAATCGTCGAGATGAACTATCATAAAAATGCCGCTATAGCAATGTCATATGCGGCTGTTAACTGGAGCATGGCAACTGGTAGGCGGATGGTGCTCATCATGGTGATGTCTCAGTCATACCTTGACATTGAAGTGACAAGACGTGAGCCGTCAGACATGGCTTTCGATAGTATACTCACCAAAATGGGATCGGGGATGAAGCAACTCACTGACAGGTCAGTGTTAATCACCGTTCAAGTATAACGCAACATATAATACTTCAAAATCACACCCGTCGAATCAATTATTAAATTTTATAATTATAATTAAATTCATAATCACCGTTTTTCATATCTGATGTGTTGCTATGTATAAAGTCATTTTGAGAAGATAAATATATCAAAGTTGTTTGCTTGCCAATTTTTTCGGTCTTTTATGTACCTATAGAGAATTAGCTATAGCGGTAATACCGTTTAAAAATTTAATAATAGGCACATAGTTTCGTTTTGAAATTTTATAATAATATTTAGGGCACATTTGGGTGGAATATTAATTTTTACAAAGATAAAAATAAATATGTATTAACTTTTGAGAGCTTTCGTGCAAGTTTTGAGAAAGAGAGAAGTATTATCGGTAAATTATAAATTTTTTTGAAATGCGATTAATAAAATAATTCCTACAATAGGTACGCTCAATATGATGCACCTGTACAAGATCCCCAGTTACTATACGCATACCAACACGGAGCACCAATGCCCGAAGCTAATTCGAAACAGTAAGTAATTTAATACCCTTAAGCTTAGAGTACGTCTCGCACAAACATTGTAAATTTCAGTTGGTAAAAAATTGTGTTAAGAAAAGAATAAAATATATCAAGCATTATCGTGCAAACTCGTTAGTAGCAAGCCTACAGAACTGTGACGTTGTAGGCGTATGTTTTATTTTTAATAATCAATAAAAAAAAGGCTTCTTCTATATCAAAATCCCAAAAAAAATTACGATAAATAAAATAACACATGTAAAAAAAGAAAATTGTACAGAGCATAAACGGCAATAAAATAGAAACCGAATAAAATAAACATTGTAGGGAGCCTCCATACAACAAATGTGTTCTTTTTTAACTTTTTCATAACGATACGGAACCCTACGTGTGCAAGTTCGACTCGCACTTGACAACCGGCCAAAATTAATGAAAACATTTAATTTTTTTTTATTGCAGCGCTTACAGCACCGGCGGCGGTAACAAAAACAATGCTGCAATGTCAGCGCTCACTCTGCTGGCGTTCTTATTTTTCCTGCACATTCTGCAGCAGTGTATCAAAGACCAAATGGTCGCTATGAGCACGCCCCAAATAACCATCATGTCCGCGAGCCGGGAAGGTGAAGACGCAGTGAAAAACGCAAAGGTCGACAAAACCGGATACACGGCAGATGATCATAAAACTGTAGCCGAAAACGGCAATAAAAATTCTGAAGCCGATTCAAAAAATAAATATGATGAAGAAAATCAAAAATTGATGAAAATATACACCGCGGAACCACCTAAAAGTGGCGCTCAAAATTACGATTTCGCAAAAGATTACAACAAACGAAGGTTCACCGAAACGGGCTTTGTGAACGCAATGGACGATGATTTCAATTGATATTCAAAATATAGACGTGGAATAAATTACACAAACTCCGTTTTATTACAATATTTATTAATATTAACATACGGTTGAAATTCTTATAAATAATATTCACTTGCGTGAAATTGTTTCTCACTGTGATTTTATATTAGAACTAAAGACAAATATCCATCTGACCACCTACATACTTTATATAATAGTAGCGTGCCAAAACATGCCACGTCATAAAGAATATCTAAATACAAATCAGTAAATGATCAACATTTATTTATTACATAATCTCAGAAAAGCTTTCAATGCCTAATGTTAACTCTCAAATGCTCACTCATGGTATTTACTAAATAAGCGACCTTTGACCTTTAAATTTTATTTACAAAATCTATTTTTTATAGAATTCTATAAATATAACGTAATAGAAACGAATTCATGTCGTTATTTTTCAAAGCTTAAAAAAACAAGTATTTGAAACGACCATCCTCAATAAACTACACAAATTATAAAATCTATTATAGTAGGTATAGCCCATTTTAATACCTTTCCATTTTTTATTTCAAAAAATACTTTTGATGTCATGTCTAATGACGTCACATCAATAACATCATTTTCTCTCTTTTCTTATCCCATCCTTCCCATTCCATCCTTTTCTTATAACAAATAACACATTTATGTAAAATAAAGAGTTCATTCGTTAAAAATCATTAATTGTCTGTACTGAAAAGTGGAAAAAAACACCCGCCAACATAGGTACTTGAAAAAATAAACATAGTGTATTTTCTATAACAGAACATGAAAGACCAAAATTATCAGATTAAATCAATAAAAACACGTCCAAACAAATCTCTTGATAGACAAATAACATGCAATACTAGTAATAACTTAATGAAAGACTATTATTACTACGACTCAGTGCATGAAAAATTCGAAAAATGAAGCTTTCTGATAAGCTAAAGATGCTTCATTTCTGTTTTAATTCCACTTTTCAAATACACAAGCGACAAAGGTCCATAAACATTGTTGTACAATTAATTCTACGTTACTTAGGGTCGTCCATAACTTAAAAATTATTGCATGAAATATTATATACTTATTGTACAAATTCGACTTCACTACGTGACATATTCCAAATTATCCTAAGACAAAATTAAAACTTATTTCAATATTTCCATGAAAGTTCAAAAAACTACACTAACACGGAATATGTATAGATCTTTTAATTGTAACCAAAGGCTTAATTAATTTATATTTCTAGTTAATGATGAGCTGGATTCTGTTGAACACTGTCTCCAACTAAACTAAGGAAATATATTTTTATGATAAGATGAAAGTTCATTACACAAAATAAACGCATAATGCAATTTTCAACCTCATCGACGTAGTCCAAATTAGTACTCATAAATTTATCTACAGCCGTTTAAAACTCGAGTTTCACATTTACAGATAAAAATATGGAAACTCAATAATTCACTATATGAATAACCTCACCGGTTAAAACTCACAGTAATTTTATAATTTAATTATAGTTTATATTTTTGATGATTTCCAACCCTGTTACACGGAGACGTGTTTTAATTTACATTATGTGAAACACAATCTTTATCATCAAGCATTCGCTAGGTCCTCCTGACCCTTTCGATATATTTAGTCTGTGTCAAAGCACTAGAGCCCATAGTCGGGTCCGTCATACGATTCCAATCAGTTTGACCAACGACGAAACCGATGGCGCGCATCTTCTCTTGTTGCCTTCTCTCTTCAATGTCCGCCCACCGTACCTGTGTTTACGATAACAACATGAAACGGACGCCCACTCGATACACAGACTACGAAACGACACTCACCTTCCAATTTTAATATTTCCGATATCGATGTATCGTTACGAAATCCAATGCTTTTTTTATGTATAACGGTTTTAAAATAAAGGTCAAAGTGACCGTGTTGAAGTTAAACTTTTTTTTTTTATATATATATATATATAAAAATGGTGGTTAATCTTTTTGTGTCAATTTGATTTTCTTGTAGAATGTGTGAAATTTGTCTTTTCACAAATGGTGAATCAATCTCAAAATCTATGATAATCATAGAGTATCGTTATTTGTATATGAATAATAAATATTATGGTCATGGTAAAATTATACCATAAAATTTCACTTTAAAGTGAACATAAAATTTATCGATAAAAAACGATCGATCTCGCGCTTTACAAAATGGTGTCAAACAAGCAAAACGCTTTGTTATCAAGAGTACAGATAAAATAACCGTATACAAACAAATTAATAAAGCTAGTGTAATAATATACTCACAGTTTTCTTCCCCGGCACAGCCTTATTTGGTGTCCAGTCGTCTAATTGTAGGTAGTCTTCCATGGAAAGTTGCGAGGGCCGCAAGGGTTTGCTGATACCGTCGAGTTTAGCTGCAACAACGCAACATGACTCTTACTGCCACGTTATAAAAACTAAATTTCAATACAAAACATAACCTTCACAATAATACGGACGTGGTAAACGATTTTTTTTTTCTGGTAGTATTTAACATACTATTACCGATAATCACACTTTTATGCTTATTTATAATATTTCATTAATTAAAACATATATTTTATACTCGTTGTCATGTGACCGCAAACAGCGCGTGACGTCACGACCCTCTTACTCATATTAGAACTTAGAGAATTGAATTTTATGCATACATAGAACTATATTAAATTTGGACGGGTGTAACTTCACAACGACGCCATGGCAAAAAATGGCGTTTTGAAAAGAAATTTTGAAAACTATTTTAAGTTTATTATATGAATGACACTTTAAAAAAAAAATTTTTTTAGATATATTTTTTTGTATATGGAAACGATAAGTTCCATTCGCTCAAATTATGATAATATCGTCGCAGCATACAAGCCACGTCGATGTCGCCGTTTCTCTGCGTCTCATTACAATAACAATACATTACGCTAGACAAAAAGTAAATATGCTCAATTGTTAACCTACCTAGCTGCGTCGCGTCGTCCATTTTCTCCCACTTCGAAGTAAAAACGCTTTCGACCTGTGATGGGGCGGCACCTTAAGACTTTAGTATAAAGCTGGAATAAATCGCATTAAACCTAACCTAACCATGACCGAAATGGAAACATTATTTGGGGGCATTTCAATTTAAAACATTACAAATATAAAAATAGTTGATAGAGGCAACATTATAAGGTGACCTTACCGGATAAATCAAAATCAACAATCACAGTAGCAAAAAACAATAAGTATGCTCAAAGTGAACCGTTTTAATTTCTCCGGTGAAGTCTTCACAGTGAGTTCTGTCAGCGAAGTAAATCTCGTGGGCCAGAGTTCGAAGAAACCTCGTCTCACCTCGGTCTCTTCGGCATCTTCCATAATGACTTCGTCTTCGACGTCCTCCATTTGTACTTCAGTGATAGCGGCACTCTGCAGGAGAGTGGTAGCGTCCAGTTGTATGTGATGCGAAGGGGTCGGGAAAAACCGGGAGCAGATCACTTGTATATCCTCTATTGTGCGATTGTGAATGTTCCTCTTAAAACACACCTGACTATCCAGTTCCATCGTACAAACGTACACCTAAAGAATGGTTAACACCAGACGAAATTGTAAATAAAAATTAGAATCATTAAACTTTACTTGTGACTTAAAAAACAACGTGATATAATATGACCCTATACATAATTTTTTATATTTTGCTACTTGGAAGTTAAAACAATAAATTATGAAATATATTGGAAACGTTAACTTATTTGTAAACAAAGTAAGAAATGTAGCATATTTTGATTTTAAATAAATCGTAAGTATATTTTATTTTTGCAAATTTACAAGAACAGAAACGCGGGCGGCTATAACAAAGCATCGTGTGACGTCACATTTCAATAAACTAAGCGTTTATTGAAGCCTCGAAATGTCACGTGACTGTTGCGGAAATACTTAAATTATTTTGCGTAATCTTTTGCGCTACAGAGTACAAAAAAAAAACCTGTAAAATTGAAACTGCTATTATTATTTATTAAATAAAATATTTTTCTTTGGGACTAGATAATAAATATTCAAAATAAAAATTGGCATACATACATAGTAGATATAATGATATTACATAATATAATTTTAATGCAATTGATTCTATTTAAGATAATAAGCATATAATATATATAAGTCGGTTATATAAGTTAATACGTTTTTAAATGAAATATTTTTTCACAAAAACAAAAATACAATAAAACCACTGTGTAATTCCATTACGTACTTGAAAACCATTTTGTCTTGCAAAGTTCCATATATCGGCATAACATCTCAGATGGTCGTTCACAGCGTCGTATATCAAGAACGTGAAGTAACCGTCGGTAACACTCCGCTTGAAAGCTCTTTTCAATGAATTCAAATATGTATCCTCCAATTTCTCGTCATATTCATATTTTATAGTTGGTTTTTTAATCTGTGAAAATATATACATAAATAGAGGAATTGTTGTGTGAACAGGGTACAAAAGGTAACTAACAAGTAGCTGACCCAGAAAAGCTCGTAATGCCTCAGAATTTATATGTCAAGTATAATTTCATTTCTGAATGAATCCTGACAGATACAGTTTGTATGAGAAAAGAAAATATTTTTAATATTTTACTTGCATGTTTCCTAACCTTTTGAACCTTCCTAGATACATATTAATCACTAATATTTATATACATGTATAGTTCTAATCGAGAAGTTGACTCAACTTATTGGTTGTTCTAAAAATCCTTACTATCCTTATATATCGAAATATTTATATCGCTAGTTACTAACTCATTTCCAAAATGACATTATGACACTTACAGCCAGTCGCACAAACGTCAATTAAAATTGACATTTGTTTAAAGCGACATTACCGATACAAATATTACATTAATTACAGCTTAAATGTGTCAGTGTCAATCATTAAACCTAAACGGACGTTTGTGCAACTCAACAAAAATTTAAAATCTCATTTCCTTAATCTACTACAATGGACTTAATTTTCAATTTAGAACATTCATTGCAGCTTAAAGTCGACACTAAACCTTTAATGCGCGTTTGTCTATACTAATATTATGAAGAGGCAAGCTTAGATTGTTTGTTTGTTGAATAGGCCCCAAAACTAATGCACTGAATAAAAAATTATTTTACCTATGGGAAGCTACATCATACGTGGTTGACATGGGCCATGATTTGTTCATAAATATAAAGTAAATACTACACCGTTTTTCCTGTATTAGGATCCTTCTCTTCCACTTCACCTTCTTGCATGAAATAGTCATCTATAGACATAATCCTTACAGTGCCTCCATATTCCGCTTCTCTGTCTCTTATTAATTTAGCTAAATATGATTTCCCACTACCCGGTGGACCTGGACATAAATTAAGATGTATGCAGATTTATGAAATTCATTAACAAGAAAAATAAACCAACAAATATTTGCTTAGGCAATAATAATATATAAAACAACATTCAGAAATTGAAAACACAGTAGCCGAGTGGTTCATACGCCGGTTTCAAGGTGTTACCATCTTTGAGGTCCCGGGTTCGATTCTCGGTTGGGTCATTGTAGAAAATGAACTTTCCTATATTGTCATGGATCTGGGCGTTGTGTTACCTTCGTTGTCTCAGATACTCCATAACGGGGGCTTTACATACTCATCTTGGAATCTTTAAAACCCCTATGCCCATGTACTCGAATGAGTAATGTATGTTTACCATTGTAACACGTAAGGTTACTCAAAATTGCTATTCTGGACATCAAATTCACCATACAAAGGTTACAACAGCACAATAATAATTTTTCTTTCATACATTTGATGAGGCAAATTTGAAATCAGAAAAGGCTGTGCGAGAATATAAAATCAAAGTTAAATAAACAAAAACTTACAAAACATGTCACAAAAAAATTAATGAATAATGATAGTAAATCATTTAGGTTCTGACGTCGTCAATTTAAACGGAGGAGGGGGTCTATCCAATGAGGAAGTATTTAAAAAAAAGAAAGCATTAAAAAAGCACTTCCACTAGATGGCGACTCTAGCAAAATTTGATTTTTGCAGGAAACGAATGGACCAAAGATAGTAATTTCCGTTCCTTTTAACTTACATATTAAAAAACTGAAATTTGCGGGAACTATTTTTTTTCAATACTTCCTCATTCTTATCTTATCCTATATAGGGAGATAGGGTCAAAAAGTGGCAAAAATAATATTTCGTAATAAATTAATGAAGCCTTAGTTCATAATCAATTGGAGATTAGACAATTAGAATAACCTCAAGCGCTGTTAGATGGATGTTGTTTAGAAATGATTTGATATTTATTAGAAAATTCAAATAACTATTAACAAAAAAGTGTAAAAACTGATCTGGATAAGTAGTCAGGTAAGTAGGATAAGCAGAACGAAACCTACCATACTAAAATATTTTAACCATTTTAACAAATTGCTTAAATAGATAATTCAAAGTCATACCTCTCAATATTATAACGATTTTCTCTGGTCTTATTTCTCGGCCTGGCGACTCCAGAATATCGTCGATCATGACCACATGTTTGGGTTGTCCAAAAGATTCTGCCATTACAGTTTCTTTCATTTTTTTTGAAACATCTATTTCGGTAATTTCTTTACTGCGCTCTCTTTTACGCGATTCTTTATCACGGCTTCTGCTACGTACTCTACTATCGTCTCTTCTCACGAAATCCTTATCTCTTAATCTATCTCTCTGCACATCTCTATCCCGATCCCTTTCCCAATCTCTGTCTCGGTCCCTCTCCCTCTCTCTACCTCGATCCCTTTCCCATTCTCTGTCCCTTTCCTTGTCTCTGTCTCTAAAGCTATCCTCCCGCCTGACATATCTGTCGTCTCGACGTCTTTCCTCAAATCGATCGTCAGGCTTTCTCCTTTCTTCATATTCATTTCTTAGAGACTTGTGACGGTAATCATCTCTTATCTCTTCTCTATCTCTAGGCACTCTTCTTTCAAAATCTCTAGAATACAAATCTCTAGCATATCTATCTGGAGGCTTGTTATAGTCGTCCTCCCTGTCACGTCGGGGTTTCCTTGTAAATAGCTCATCTACTTCCCTTTCGAAATCTTTTTTTTTATTATCACCGTCTTTCGATATATGATTATAATCGAATGTGTGCACTGGCTCAATGAAATCACGAGCTGAAAGTAATATAAAAAAAAACATTACAAAACATTCACAGAGAAACAAATCAATAAAATTATGATTGTTTGATATATTTTAAAATTTATTAATTAAGAAGTCTATCGAGTTATGCATAGACTTCTTATTGTTAAATCAATTCATAATACTTTGGCTTCATCTGCTTCAAAAAACAACAAAGATTACTTTCTGCTACTCCATGGTACTGAGCAATACATGTAATGACACTCCTCAAGAAGACTCGAAAACTTGTAAATAATTTTAAAATCTTTCAAAACATTGCTTTCGGTATAATAGGTATGATATATTCAAAATTACCTTTTACCCTGAGGGGCTTATGTTCATATTCAACGATAAGAGTTGGAGCAAACAGGGGTTCTTCCATCCATTTCGGTCTGGGCGGACTCGGAGGCCTGACATTTTCAGGCGGCCGCCTATTTGATGGACCCCTGAACTGATTTTCGTTCACATTCTGCAAGGGCAACTCCATCAAAGGCCTCGGCTGAGGTGCGTTCTGTCTGATTAGAGGTTGATCATTTCTCTGAGGCATTTCGTGCCTGCCGTATTGATCATTTTCATTGTAATATTGGCCCTGCTCAAAGGGTGGATGATCATTATATCCACGGTTCTGATTAGGAGGCATTCTATTGAACTGATTACCCTGACCTTGATTCTGAGGCATGGAATAATTTGATTCCTGTCTGTTATCATAAGGCATGTTGTTCTGTCTATTACCATAGGGTGTATTATTCTGCTGGTTATAATTATTATCATTTCTGTTCCATTGATTGTTCATCTGATTATTTTGATTATTTATCTGATTATTTTGATTATACATGTGATGGTTGTGGTTATGCATATTTTGATTTTGCATCTGGTTATTTTGATTATGCATCTGATTATTTTGATTATGCATCTGATTATTTTGGTTTTGCATATGAATGTTTTGATTATGCATCTGATTATTTTGGTTTTGCATATGAATGTTTTGATTATGCATCTGATTATTTTGATTATATACCTGGTTATTTTGATTATTATATGGTAAGTGACTTGTGCTTTGCTGAACAGAATTATCAGAAGGAGCCGATTGTCCTCTAACCATTGAAAGGATATTCATAATTTTTTCGTCGCCAAGAATATTATTTATTCCTTTCGTTATTTTGGAATAATCAGGTTGTTTATACTGTTGAGATGATCTATTGTATGACTCCCTATCTTGTTCTTCAGTTATATCGATAACCTCTGGCTGGGGATTCGACCCCTTCTCTTCCGGCACTAAGTCTAATCCAGGTATACTTTTGGAAGCACCACTTGTGGGCAGAAAACTGGAGTTATCAGTTTGGTAATTATCATTCGCCGTATAATTCTCGGCTGCTGCATAATCGTCCTTCTCTGAATAATTATTATCGGCAGTCGTATAATTATCTACATTTTGGTAGGACTCATACCGATCCTGCTGATCAAGATTACCTTTATTGTAAGATACAGGTGGAGCTGAATTATCATAGTGCTTATTATACTGCTGTTGTTGGGGAGCATTTTTATTCATACGCCCCTGATCTTGTCTGTTATTATAACTCTGGGCGTCATTTTTATTATAGTTAGCGGGAGGAGTGTTTAACGACGGTGGAGGTATCGACGTCGTTATATTACCTGTGATAGAGTTCGGCGCGACATTCATGAGACGAGCCCGCTTCTGTTTCATCTGTTGGCGGCGCTCGAGAAGCTGCGCGCGGCACGCCTCGAACTTCTCCTCGTACTCTTTGTAGGCTTGCTTGTCGGGATGATTCACGTTCTCACGTCTCCACTTATCGATCTCCTCCTCCCATTTCTGAAACTGAATATCGAAAAGCTTCTCCTCCTCGGCGAGCTTCTTCAGCGCTTCCGAATCGACGGGCGACGCGACGGTCGCGGGCGGAGGGGCCGCCTGCGTACCCTGAGACCATTGAGCGTTACCTGCGGTGGTGTTTACGCTAGTCAAGTTCCGTCTGGGTTGCGTCGGCGGAGGGACGGGCGCGGGTGGCTTGGTAGCGGCTGCGTACAGGGGTTGATTGTTCTCGTGCGGCGGCGGCGGAGGGGGCTGGTCGGGGGGCGGCGGCGCGGGGGCGGGGGGCGCCGCGCTCGGCGGCAGCGGGGGCATAGCGCCCATCGTCTGCATAGCCTGCATTTGCTGTGCATACTGCACATAAATTCCTGATTAATACTCAAGAAATTGTTATCTTTTAAGTCTCAATCTAAAGATTTCTCTTCTGCCATTCTCAATGGTTTAAACTGACTAGCTATGAAAACAGATAATTGAAATCAAATTAAAGCTTTATAAATAACAATATGTGGTGTTCAAATTTTTTTTTTTCATGTAATGTCTACTAATATGTCTAGCATCTGAATACTTAATCATAATAAATTCAGTTACAGTATATTAAAAATGTGATAGAAAAAGATATAGTTAACAATATCATCATGTAAATAATAACAATTTTAAATTAAAACTTTGCACTTTGTAACAGCCTTCTATACCAATGCTTACATTGGCCAATTTAATATTAAGCTGCAATGTACGGGATCTTACATTTTCAAGTATTCCTGAACTAAAGAAGAACTAATTAATTAATAAAGTGAAACTCAAAAAATCACCCAATGCTGTGATTTATATTCAACCCCCAAACTGGGCTGTTTTTTACACTTTCTTGTCATTTCCCATTGTTTGTCATTTATGTTCTCATGTTAAGTGAATTGTTGAAATTTTTATTGAGAATAAATATCTTAGACCTGGTAAATATACTTAATAGACAGTCAGTTAACTGTATTGTCATCTCATTTACTAAGAAGAAGAAAGCAAGACAGATATACGAGTCAACTAAAAGATGTAGTTGTATTGACACAACAAATTAACAAGTTATTTCTAGTAGTATACAAAGAAGTCTTTTATTTTAATAAATCACTGAAGTATTGAGTACTTTTATTTAGGTCAACAAACAGTTTTACAATTATATGTTATTTGTAAAACTGTCCATTTCAGTTAAATATCAGTCATCTAATCATAGATAGTATACACTTATTTATAATGCAATAATTAAAAGTATATTATAAATATAATTAAAAAAGGGAGATTCAGAAAAACTAGTATTATTGAAATTGTTTCTCTGAGCTTTTTAATTTGCAAAAGTTAGCATCGATGCATAAAGATCAGGCTATAGAATTTATTAATAGAATTAACTTTATATAAGTTTTAGAAACTAATCTCTTAAAATTTCATACAATATGTATTCAAGCATTGGATTTCGGTGCACAGCGGAAATTGCAAATAAATAATTAAACTTGGATTAAATTTAAATAAGCTACCTCAATTTTGTTAATGTCAATTATAGATAAGTTATGTTATTGTATATTATGATTGGGTCAAATTTGGCTTTAATAAAATAAATAAAACAATATCAATATTATAAGCTTTCAGCAAAAACAAAACCTGCGTCTTCTAAGATCAGTATTACATTCAGTAGTTTTAACTATACAAATAAAAGTTAAAAGTGCTGATTTTATTAAAGTATTCACATAGAGCAGGGGTTTATAACATAAAGTTGCATATCAAATTTTAAGGTTTCACTAATAACCTACTTAAATTATAAACTGAATAATAAAATAATGCAGTTTTTAAATTCAATGAACAGTCGAGATTCTACTTGTATTGTAACCAAAACAAATAAATTAAAGCTATCCCTATGAATGATAGCACAGTAAGTTATTGTCACTAAAAAGAAAATTCAGTACATTTCTTGTTAATACTTATAAAGCTCATAAAGAAACCAATACATAGTAAAATAGTATACATTATCAAAAAATATCACATGAACAATAAGTTACAAATGACCAGCTAACCTTTTCTCCATATTGACTTTGCCACTGGGCGTATTGCTGTTGCCATTGAGCCCACTGTTGCCAGTTCTGCTGCTGCATAGCGGCCCATTGTTCAGCTGAGTATGATCCCATGTTCATATCTGGCGTCATTGGCATGCCACCCCACTGGCCAGGTGTTTGCATAGGCCACGACATCGTGTCTCATTAAGTACATAGACAGACCGAAAGAATCTAGTAATAATTTATAATATAAAAACCAAATTTGCATTTGATGATTAGCCTATCGCTATCAATAATACGTTCTTAGCTTATTTCTCAGACTGGCATTGGCAGCCATTTTGAAAAGGTAAGCCTGCGCTTCTTGACGCAATGATATAGTGATGGGTTCGTGTTTTCGGTTTATGTCGATAATGACTGTGTAGTTATAATATTACTTTCGACCTTTGCTTGTGTGAGGAAGTATTAAAAAAACAAAAGCACCAAAAAAGCACCCCCACTAGATGGCGACTCTAGCAAAAGTTGATTTTAGCAGCAAACGAATGGACAAATATAGTCATTGCCGTTCCTTTTTACTAACTTAAAAAAAAACTGAAATTGGAAACTTAGATACAAATACGAAAAAGAACAAATAAAATATGAGTTGTTTATTGACTTTTAAAAATTAATTTGCTTTTATACGTGAAAAAATACTGGAAGGATTGTCATGCAGAAATTAAGATAATACCGTTGCAATATCTACTTCGGGAACTAGTGTTTTTTTTTTAAATACTTCCTCATTAACGGAGTTGACAACCTTCCTCACAACAGATTTAGCTTGACAATATCATCATCACCAGCCGTTTTACGTCCCCACTGCAGGGGCTCAGGCCTTCCTTTTGGATGGTTAAGGAGGATAGGCCATGACCCTCCACGCTGGCCCAATGCGGATTGGAGGGTATTAACGACTGCAAATGCAGCCGGAACCAACAGCTTAACGTGCCTTCCGAAGCACGGAGTAGTTCGAGATAATAATTCTTTGGTCACCCATCCCGTGACCGACCCTTGCGAAAGTTGCTTAACGACTACGATCGCGGGCCACGGCGCTTATCCACTACGCCACCGAGCTACTCCGAGCAATATAGCTTTGCCTATTTATGAAAAAACTCATTGCTAAGTTTTTAACCTTCGTCTTTGTCATTGTATCTCAATATATAGGGCTAAAACCGGCAATACTTTTCTTCAATAAATATTCAATATTATTTTATATATCTTGATTTGCATGCCTTGATGATAAATTGTTTAACAACTATACTATACAAAAGGTAACTTCGAGGTTATGGTAAATAAAATCAGGCCGAATATAAATAAATATAAGAAATGTTACTACTAAATTTCAGAAAACAGACAAGGATTTGGCTACAAATCCTTATGTCACGTAGAAAAGGATACACTAAGCCTAGTGTATTGCCAAGCACTGAAAATTTTACTGGGAATATTGCCGGCAGCATTCCCAAAGTAGAAATGAACTGGGAGTATTGAATAAATTTTCAATATTTTTTAAATATTTTATGTTAATTTCAATAATTTTATGATTATCTATATACTAGAAACAAAAGTGGGCATTAAATTGTCATAATAACGAAAATTCACAGACAGCTGTCAAAGTTCCCGGCAAAATTTCCAGCAATATTTCCAGTTTATTGCCAGCAACATTCCCAATTAACTTCCTAATGATGAATATGAAAAAAATACCTATACGATACAGTGTCATTACTAGAGTCACCTCTTGCAGTGAAGCATTTAGTAGCATTCTAAATCAAATCCAATCAAAATATTCATAAATGTGTTTTCTTTTATTCAATAATTTCCAGTTATAAGCTATATAGTAGATTTGCTTGCTCTTGCTGTTTCTTTTATTTTCACTTCTTGCACAAATGTACAATGGCGGACTTAATGCCAAAGAGGCATTCTCTACCAGTCAACCAGTAAATTTATTAAAAAAAACTTAAAATGGCGACAGGCATAACGAATGATAATATGTACATTACGCTATTGATATATACCTACATAATATGAAAAGTAAATTTATAACATGTATAATAAAATGTTATATAAAATTAGATTCTAACCCATCACTATATCATTGCCATCTTATAATAACCGCATTTGTACGAAATTCGAAATAAATAAACCATACGCTTACAGGCTATGTGACCCGTAATTATGAAGTAGTTACCGGTTTCAAATGTAAATAAACAAGTAACTAAATAAAATAAAGCCATAGTAGACGAAAATAACACGAATTTGTCAAATATAGAAAAATTCCACATGTTATGATTTGAACAAATAATAAACAAAAAAAATGCACTTACCAAAATCATGTAAAATAATTACAAAATATTAGTGTTCTTACACAATATTAGTGTGTATGACTGAATCACACATGAATAAACACTAGTAGCGAAAAACAGGTGCTTATGTAATTTGTCATTTCTCTTACGTCTTGGGTAGCTCCCGATTAGGAATGGTTATGGGTTTTGAGGTCCATCTAGAGCATCTGGGATTGGTGAATCTTTTCAACTTTTTTAAAAGATAAATCAATGCAATCATATTGCACTGTGAATGATAAATTGATCAAACATATTATATATACAAGAGGTAAAAAAATATAATCAAGTAAATAATTTACTTTAGGGTATTAATCTCACACTCTTCAAGCTATTTAGTTATCTTTCAAGGAATGAAAGGAACTTTAATTTTATGCGAGAACACTTCAGTAATATCCGACGAAAATTAATTGTATTTGCACATACTTTTTCCCAAGAACAAGCTTCATGTAATTACCGAGATAAAATTGAAACAATAGGGAAGTAAACCTATTCATATCTCTAGTTTTGTATTCATGGATATTGAAATATTGTTGCGACTTAGGGTTCTGAATAAAAATTAAGGTCCTAACCTAGATTATTTTAAGTGTCTCCTCGAACCGTGCCGCTGCGCTCCGTAACAATATGTATACTTACACAGAGAAACGTGGGATTGTAGATGTGTGATATTGATGACATAATATCATTCATTATCAGTTTATACTTAGTCAATTCTCTACCCCAGGGATTCCCAATTTTTCCGACATGAACTGAAATCTCTGATCCCAGAAACTAATCCCCGATAATTAGCTGGATTATTTTTCACCTTGTACAAATTTGTGCACTTTTATGGACTGTTAAGTCTTTAAATGTACATTCATCATCCATGACATTGTATTTTGTCTTAAATTTTCTTGGTCAATAATATTCGAGTAACTCCGTTACTCCGTGATTATACCGCTTCCAACAGTGCTGAAATATTGGGAACTCGAGAACTATAAGGTAAAGCTTGGCAAAAAAATAATAATAATAATAGGAGCGCCACTGTTTATATGGCAATCCATATACTGTCCTAAACAAATTTGATACTTAGATTTTAATTCCAGGACTCCATTTTTTATCCTATTTCCTCAATGACTATGCATACTCAAGCAGCGGGCATTTTTGGTAACTCAACTGACAATCTAAATCGTAATGACCGAAAGAAGTGGAAAAAAATGAGCAATTGCAATGTGTCAAAATAACTATGAATGGTTTGCAATTTTCAAATATCAATATCGGCGTTGATCACTAAACTCTATTTTGACATTTTATGTTGTATTCATAAACTATTAATTGGTATTCCGTAAGCATCAATTACCATAAAATTGAATTTCAATGATTGATTTAATCTAATATTCTTAATGAGAAATGCTTAATAAGACACTTTGTCCTTGGCACTCTGAGATGTGATGAGACTCGAACCGATGACCTTTCGCAATTCGGGCGACTGTTCTTCGATCCAGGAGAAAACAATCGCCCGAATTCGAAAGTTGCCCAAACCTAGCATACTTGATGTAATCGCTGCTTTACACTTTGTTATAGAAACATTCCGCTCATAGGGAGCTGGTTGTTTCTTGTAAAAAAAAAAAAACAAGAAAAGTTTAATCCCACTGTATAATTTTAACCTTGCGAGTTTTTATGATTTGATATAAGAACTATTAAGGGTAAGGAATTATAAAGACTAAATTTTTTCACACGGGACCCCCCTTCTTGTTAGAAGAAATAAGAAACTATTAATCACCCTTCTTCCTACTTCGCTTACGTGATAAAATTATGGCTATTGATGATATTGATGGATTACCTTCGTAGCCGAATGGCACATACTTCGGTTGCAAGGTGTCGCCATCTATAAAGTGATTTCCGGTCGGGTTAATGTAGTAAATTAACTTTTTATACTGTCTCGGGTCTAGGTGATATGGTACCTTAATTGTCTTTAAAAAGCTGTTGCCTGTAAAAAGTCACCTCCCCCAGGAGCACATCTCTTAACTCTTGGTGAAAAAAATAGTTACGGGTAACTGTCAATTTTGTCCTTGTCAAGCTTATCCCGCACAAGACATATCTATGACTTGAGGTTACTGAGAAAAGCAGACGTTTGGTACGGACAGAAGTTTAATTTAAGTCAATCAAATCAAAATCAAAATTTATTTATTCAGTTTAGGCTTTTACAGAGCACTCGTGAAAGTCGAAAACTACGCCATCGGTTCGCAAAACTACGGCGGGAGACCTTGTACTGAGAAGAACCGGCAAGAAACTCAGCAAGGGCTGTTTTTTTCTCCCTGTTTTATTTCACACAGAGAAATCTTATTGAAAAGTGACTTCATTAGAATATGAAGTCACTTTCTATTACAATATTAGAAAGTAAATACAATAAAGTTAAAATATCTAACACCATGCCTTTTTGTCATTTACATATTCCTTAACGGTATAATACCCTTTACTTTGTAGACAATTTTTAATATGACTTTTAAAATGATTTATTGCCAAATCTAATACATCACTGGGGATCTTATTAAAGTATTGTATACCTTGACCCATGAAAGAACCTAATACCTTCTGTAACCTGTAAGAAGGCATTACTAGCTTGTTCTATTATGATTCTTCCATGTGTCACCAACATCAACGTAATATGACAAGTAGTGATGCATCCCTTTATATATGTATGCATCATATAAAGAATAGACTTACTGCCCTGTAGTAAGTCTATTCTTTTTTAATAACAAAAGGTGTTTTATTATTCTGCTATGTGTGACGGAACACAAAATATTATTAAAATATTTTTTTATGAATTATTCCAAAAAAACGTTAGTTCTTGATTTCTCCATGAAAATCCTTCCGGTTTTCTTTCATGTATAAAAGTAAATTAATGTTCAAACTCAATAAACAATTCATATTCTATTTGTACTTTTTCGTATTTGTATTGATATCTAAGGTTCGAACTTTGCACATTTCAATTTTTTAATATGTTAGTTAAGAGAAACGAAAATAATTATCTTTGATCCATTGGTTTCATGCAAAAATCTACTTTTGCTAGAGTCGCCATCTAGTGAGGTGCTTTGTCAGTGCTTTCTTTTTTTTTTAATACTTTCTCATTATACATTAAATGAACGTATATCAATAAGTTTCACAGGATTAAAGTTCATTCATTATTCAAGTTAGTAATATATGACATAGTCATCGACATCCTTTGGCCTATACATTGGTCACATCACTAGAGTCAAAGTAACGCCATTTTTGTGTCGAGTTGACCAGTTAATTTGTGTCGTGTGCGTCATTTTAACGAAATTATGATATAATTCCATTAAATATTATTATTTTCAGTAATTGTTGTTTAACAAAGTGAAGGCCATGAGTTATATTTTTAAAAGAATATCATTGTGACCGTGTATATCGATTATTTTCTGTGATTTTGTCTGCGCGGGAAATGTGGTATTTTCCGATATCACTCGCAATAACCAAACATAACTAAATTGTGTACAATACCAGCATTTATCAGCAGTAAAAATGATTTCTCAACGCGTTCGTGAAAGTAGAAGAGTCAGAGCGCTCAAAATGCCCAAGAATATTGAACGCTTGTACAAGGAAGGGAAGTGTCGAGACTGTGCAGTTGTTGTGACGCGAATGGACTTTGCAAAGATTTTGGGTAAATTTACTAAAGTAAAAATACAATATGAAAGTTGTTCGACACCGAAAACGAAAAAGACAACAGAGGTACCTTCACCTAACTCAAATACTAGATTAAAACGCAATGAGAATGGTATGGTACTTATTCACAGAAATGCTTACAGCCAACATCCTGTGAAAGAACTTCTCAATAATAAAAAACCAAAAACTAGTGTCTCCCAACCAGTTACGCCTAAACAAACTAACAATATACTAAAAGAGAATAATCGCCTAAAAAAGACTCCTGCGGTAAAAGACAAGAACTCTAATATCAATATTTCCAGTAGCAATGAATCTAAGAAAAAAAATAACAATTCACAGCTAAAACAATACGGCATAATATTCATTGATCCAACATCAAACAATAACAATGAATTCAAAAATAAAACAACCTTAAATGATTTGTTGCCTTTATTAGATAAAACTATTTTACCAAATAGAGACTGGTCTTATGACTACTTGCCACGTAATGCGGAACCAACTAATGATAAAGTGTATGACAGAATAGCAGCAGAATTAGAAGATTTGATGTATAATGAGAAACCGTCTCTTAAATCAGCAGAAAAAGATCAGCATACTGAAACTAAAGTTGATGACTTTCCATCAATAATGGATATTTTGAATGACAATTCAAATGACAGTAGTAAACCAAACAATCAGAATGCAACAAATTTAGAATCGAGTGATGTTGAAGCAATGCTTCTTGGAAAATCTGATACCACAAATAAAACTTTGGTATCTAATTCAATGGACGTTGACAATGCTGACATGAGCAATTTGATTGCTGACGTTGCACAATTAAATGCTATTCAAGTAGCAACATCAGATCAAGATAATGTGATGAAAACACTACCTATTGTTGAAGAAATTGATAATCCTCACAGCCCATCTATCCTTGATGAAGCATTACAAAAGGGAATAGAAGAACATTTGCCTTGTGACCCTTCATTGAATTCAGAGAATACTGATAATAAAACTGAAAGTCAGAATAAAGTAATCAATAATGATGTTCCTACTGAAGGTGTCAATTCTAATAATACAAGTAAAAATCTTCAAACAAACTCTAATTCAGAGGAGATTAACAATAAACCCGATATAAACAGTCAGGAAATATCTTTTCCACCTAACGTTTCACATTTGATTTTCAAGAAACATGTTAATGGTGAATGTGTAAAATGTGTGACATGTCCCAAAAACCTTAAATATAATGTTGAACTGGAAGGCAAATCTGTTGAATTCTTGGGAGCACCTAAGTTCATTACTAGCTTAGAGGATCTCAAAGTGTTATTGCAGATTGTGAATGAGACTGAACTTGAACATCTATATGTTTGTCAATAACTTGTTTAAATTTACAGTATGTTTTAAAAATTATGCTATTATACAGAATGAAATGTAAAGTCATATAGGCATTTTTTTAATGTCTTTGAGACATAAAAATTGTGCAAATCAGTAAATACATAAGGATAATCAGCCTAATTAATTGGACTGTTTTCCAAAGATTGGTTTGCAATGTAATATTAAATATACATTGCATGTGTTAAAGACAAATTTGAGTAAAATATTTTGTGAAATATCCTGTAATATCTTTTTTGGCTAGTATGCACTATTTATTAGTGTAAGGATATGAGAAAAATTTATTTAGAATAAAACTATGTTAAGTTATGTACATTGTGTATTATTTTCAGTAAAAAGTATCTGATAGGAAGGCTACAATGATAGTAAACCAATCATTATGTATGAAATCTTTAGTTAGCATGATTATAGTAATCATTGATTTCAGGACTCATAAATAAATAATACATTGTGTGTTACTGTTTGGGTACTTATCTGAAAAAAAGAGGCTTTTGGTTTATTTATGTGTATTTGATTTCTTTTTAAAAGTTAATCCATGTACATTATTGGCTAAACACAATATTGATACCATTTATTTATTGACATTTAAATAAAAAAATATATAAACATTTGTAACATCATTAACTTCATATAATTAATATAAAAAGAGATAAATTGCCTTACATATTAAATAAGCCAAAAATCATTACAAAATGGAAGGATATCATAAAAAATACCTTATTGTCTAAGCATTAAGAATGTAAATTCTAGTGTTTTAAGTACATTTTATTAGAAAACTATTGGAACATTTAATTAATTTAATAACTATTGCTACCTAAACAAATTTTCATAATTCTTTCCTTAGTGAAAGTTAAATATAAGATGTTATGTAACAGATTCATTTATTGATGACATGTTTTCAAATAAGTTTTGTAAAACTGATTCTATTAGTTTATTCTGTCAAGGCATTAATTTAGGGTTTGTTAATTAAAATGTGGAACCTCGATGGTTTACAAATAATCATATTGTTTTAATTAAAGCATTTCATAATGGTATTCCTTTCTGAAAGGAATATAATTAGTTGGGTAACTAGTCTGTGTGCCTTCTTTAGTGACAGACAAAGTGGCTACTTCACAAGCCGCGCCAATGATCTGATGCAATGGACGTTCCTTATTTGAAATTAAAAATGTTGCAAGTGCACCCACAAAAGCATCGCCTGCCCCCTGTAAAAAAAAGGGTAAAGTTAAAACTATTGAAAACATAGGACAGTTAAGCAAGTCTTTAAGCAAAGCGATTTGGGTACCAATAGGATAAATGAATGATACCAATTTTTGTCTCTACTCTCAACATTATTAAAGTTAAAAATCGGTTTAGTTATTCAAATCAAATCAAGTTTAGTTTTGTTTAAACTCATATGTTGTTGACTGTACATGAAAGTATTCACATAGTATTGACAAAAATGGAAGAAATAATGAGAGAAATATATGTGTAGTGCATGGAGTATACAAAATATCTAATTTCTGCAACCAGTTTGGAGATTGAACTCTGGGGTTAAAATCAATATTTTTAATTTTTTTCTTATACCTAGAGGTATAGGTAAAAAAAATATTTTTGATATGGCAGGTATATTGGTATAACTGTTTTTGCAACTTACTGTAGTATCTACAGGTACTACTGTTTCACAAAACACATGTATTGGTGTCTCATTCTTTGTTGCATACACAGCTCCCTTCTCACCAAGAGTTATTACTACTGTTTCACATCCTAAATTGAGTAATATTTTCAAGGCTTCAGCTGCAGTCCTAAAACACATTTTTTTGAAATAAATAAAAATGTACTTATTACTTATGAAAAATAAGTTTCCATGATTGATGTTAGTTAAATAAATGATTTATAACTTACATAACACTATCTACGTTATGTTTTGCTAAAATTGAAGCTTCAGACTCATTTACACATAGTATGGAACAATAAGGCAAAATTTCTTTAATATCACTTCTTCCTGGAGCTGCATTCAAAAGTTTGAGCTGAAATGAGCAATAAGTTTCATTTAAAAAGTATGTAAGGACTTTCACTCTACTGTATTATTAAAAAATATCTTATGTTTAGTAAGTAGTTGACATATTAAGCTTAAAAAATTTATTACAATACATACTCCTTTGTTTATCTTAAATGCTTCTAAAGTTGTTTCAAAGGGAGTCTCCAATTGACCTATAAGTACGTCTGCGGAGGATATCAAGGCCTCTGTGGCCTTCACATCAGCTTTACTAAGATGCCCATTAGCACCAAGAACTATTACTATTTGATTCTCCCCATTTTCAGCTACTGTGATTTGAGCAATACCAGTTGTCACATTTTGTGTCTTATATACATGTGATACATTAACACCAGCAGTTTTCAAGTTCTCTATATATTTTTGACCCCACTGGTCGTCTCCTATAAAGCAAAATATTACCATATTATAGAAATACAAGTTTTTTTTTATTTTGATTAACCAAAATGGTTTGAACAAGCATTTTTACTATAGGATTTGACTTATCACCTACTCTACAAATCAAGAAGGTGTTTCCACCCAGTTTGGCGGCTGCCACACATTGGTTGGCTCCTTTCCCTCCAAAACTAGTATTAAATTTTGTTCCATGGAGTGTTTCCCCAGGGTTGGGTAGCCTAGGTGCATATCTAAAAAACAGTATTCAAATACACATACTTTATTTTGCATATACATAAAGATTACTTACTCATTAATTTAAAAACACGATATATTACGTAACTTACTGTGTGTATTACTTAAGACATAAAGTAATGATAATGACACTGTGAACCATATAACTTACTTTTTACTGCAAACGTTACACACTGTGTAACGTGTAACGTTTTCAGCATAAATAACTTTCATGATAAAATTGAAAATGCCAAATGCTTTGGTGATTATTACATTTATTACCAGACTTACGTTGTAAAGTCGATAGAGCAAGATCCAAGTACCACAATTTTAGGATTATTCATGTTTTTATTGGAAATCGTCGAAATCTAAACTCAATTGTAAGTTTTTGTAAAAATTACCCTTAAAAAATTCTGTAAATGTTTAAGATTATGTACAAGTGATAACCGCGAGCCAAGCGCAACGGCTATCTCGTATTCTCGTGTCTTGTTTTGATAAACATTATCTACTTACATAATTATATGTTTTAACATCTATGTCAAAGAAAATCTATGTACTACTCGTAACAGTTAAAGATAACACGACATTCACATACAAATACAACCAAAAGCGAGCCTATTATATACTACTCTTTGCCTATTATCGTGTGCCATAACGAATATTATCGTTTTATTTAATTAGAAAAAATCGGCAAAATTATTGTACACCAGTACAATATGTCAAAATTCTGGAAATAAATTTAAACTCAAGTGCCAAGATAATAAGACGTAAAATCAAATGAAGTAATTTGACATATTTATATAGCCTGACGTGCTGTTCAAAGTATATAAAGCATAATTATTAACAGAGATGTACGGATATGTTATTTCAGTTACGAATGCGGATATTTGAGAATTGTTATTTTGGTTACGATTACGAATATAAATTCTTTTCTGAATAGTCAGAAGGTACTTTTCGATAGTTTCGGTTACGGATACAAGAATTAGGTAATTAAAATATTTATTTTTTTATATAATTAGATCATGAATTAGTGAATACTTAAGTAATTGTTCTCCATAAATAAGACAAATGATATAGATCGAAAGAATCAAAAGAATGAAAGTTTTAAATGAGGAAGTAGTATATGGCGACTCTACCAAAAGTTGATTTTTGCAGGAAATGAATGGACTAAAAATAGTCATTTCCGTTCCTTTTAACATACCGATTAAAAATCTGAAATTCACAAAGTTCAAAACTTAGATTTCAATACAAAAAGAGTTTTGAAAACTAGTTTACTTTTATACATGTGTGGCGGGCGACTAGTGTTCGACCGAATGTTCGGTTTCGTTTTCGGTTGAGTTTCGGCATAAAAACAAATTTCGGTTTAGTTTCGTTTTCGGCGGCAAACCTGCCGAAACCGAATATGCATTCGGGATTTTTCGTGCTGTGATCGGTCATATTCGGCGCGTTAAATGAATGAATCCCATCCTAGCCAATGTCGTGATTCACTTGGGTTTGCAGTTCGTTTCATTTTGTTATGGTGGCGTTGATTTATTTTTAAATTTTATTTAATTTTATGTCGTTATAACATAAAAACTACGCCGAACTTGCCACTGCGCAAGACCAAGATGCGACCATTGCACCCCTATTGAAGCAAGACAACATTCTACTAAGGAAAGTGAACGTTCCGATCACAGACGTAGATTCGTCTTGTCTTGTCTTCGTCTTGCTATCGATTGCTATGATGATGCTAGTCTTCTCGTCACAACTATTGATTAGTTGTGGCGATGAATTAGATGTCGCTACGTATCAGTCGCCACACATGAAAGAAAACGGCAAAGGTTGTCATGAAGAAATCAAGAAAGAACCGTAGCAACATCTAGTTTGATTTTGGGAACTAATGTTTTTTTTAAATACTTCCTCATTACGACCACACGGCAGGGGCTCAGGCCTTCCTCACAGATAGTTACAGATGATGGGCCATGATCTTCCACGCTGGCTTTAGCGGATTGGAGGGCATTAACGACTGCAAATGCAGCTGAGACCATCGGCCTAACGTGCCTTCTAAAGCACTGAGTAGCTCGAGACAATAATTGTTTGCTAGCCCGTTTCGTGACCAACCCTTGCAAAAGTTGCTTAAAAACAACGATCGCGGGCCACAGTGCGTACGCTACTCTAAAACATCGTGTGGTAAAAGCTAATTAATGAAATACCGGGAAGGTACTGGGCATTGTTTCTTCACTTATTAACCCAAGACAATCTCAAATTAATAAGTTCTCTATTCTTCACTGACATAAACACAACCAAAATTTTGGAAACTATAGCGGATTTTGGAATCTTTCATAATTTCGGCTTTTTCGAGAAAATGAATAATAAATAACTATAAAATCACAATAAAAAATAGCTGATTATAACCTCCCATGTCTTGAGGCGGGTGGCGGGTGTCTCCACATTACACGTTCTGTTGGTAATAGAGCCCGGACAGGTGGTGAAATGTTCGTCATTGGCTGGGTCAAATATTGCCTAATATTTTGACTCTCCTAGCGCGCTATCGGCGAGTTACGTGGGACTCTCCCAGACCCCAGAGTGGGGTTAGTCAAATAGCAGAGGCATATACCCACTAAAACTCAGCGATGTCCCTCCATAGATGCTACCATGAGACGCTATGCACTAGGACAGCCCGAAGACAGAGTATAAAGAGTAGGTGCTCTTCATACATACGCACCGCAAATGGTTTGTATGTAAGCGCGCCCGTGCGTATGCGTAATCACACACACACACTTACAAAATTATCGAAGTTGTAGAAGTTCAAGGCACGAGTGGCAATTCGCCAATCGTGGCTAGTACGCCGTCACAGTGTAAATATAAGTATACAGTGGTGAAACTGCCTACAAGCGTTCGAAATCGCACGCACACATAAACACGCTCACCGACGAGCCGCCTAAGTGGACCTAACAGGACGCTCAGTAACGCGTAGCGCGTCGAGATGAGGGGTCACGTTATACGTTCCGCGATCGTTTTTATTTAAAAAATGAAGGAAAGATTAAGGAAAGGAGTAGGCTTATATGAAATAAAAAATAAGATTTTTGTATGATCTGGAAATATATTTTAGTCTGGAAATATATTTTAACCGCCCAGTGGCGTAGCTACCAAGGGGCTAGGCGGGGCAGTGCCCCGGGGCCCTCATGCTCAGGGGGCCCTCGAATCTTTACCAGAAAATCTCAATCGAATTCAACTTTTGAAAATTTCTCCCATTTTCAAAATAAATATGACAGGTGTGAGAAATTCCAAAGTTATAAAAAGGGAATTCTCCTAAATTATTTGTGTGGGTTGAGTGTAATTAATGTTTTCATCAATTTGTCGGATATCAATATCTGCATATTATTATTTATCGATATGCGTTTTTGTGATTCGCGATTATGAATTTCGAGTCAAGATTTTTTTTCGAGAATGGTTAAAAAGTTAATGTATCAGGAGTAAGCAAGCGTATGTCAATAGTTTTTTTGTACTGGTCCATACAAAAGTTCAATTTTATTTGATTATAGTACGTATACATAGTTACGTAATGAAATCTATAGATTTCGGCTAATACCGTGAAAAATACAAGTCACATGCGGTAGGGGGCCGTCCATTAATTACGTGATATTTTTTTGTCATTTTGGTAACACTGGCGGCGATAAAATGTTTGCCGGGGATTCCCCAACGACGTCTTGTATCGAATCATTACGTATCGCTTTCCTTTTACTTGTAAAATAAATTAGAAAACTAATATTATGGACAAGAAAAAAAGAAATGCACCAGCGGTGCATTTAAACGCAAACAACGCCAAGAAAGAGAAGAAAGTAAACAAAAATTGCCCAAAATTGACAAGTTTTTTAGTCAGCCTTCTGCAAGTACTTCTGGACAAAATATTTCTATTGATAATTTTTGTACCAAGTCCTGCCATAAATACTGTTACAAATGAAAATGGTCAATTTTTTTTATTTAGTTTTATATAAATGTAAGTGTTAAAATACTCTAAACAATTGTTTTACATAAAATTTTATTCAAAGTGAGCACCCATAGTGTTTACACAAGCTTTTAAACGAACCGGCCAGTTGTCAATACTTTTATGTACGACATCCATAGGGAAGTTGGCCACTGCTCGCTCCAGTGATCTCTTGAGAGATTCCAAATTGTGGTGTCTCTTAGATCAGGCAATGTCCTCTAAGACAGACCACATTTTGTAAACTAATGGGTTCAGGTCTGGACTGGAGGAGGGCCAATCATCGACTTTGATAAAGTCGGGAGCATTATCCGCGAGCCAAGCTTGGGTGGTGGCCAAGCAACAGCCTTATGACCGGGAGCCGAGTCTTGTTGGAACGTCCAGGGAATATTAGGAAAGAGTGTGTTGCCTAAAGGTTTCACTACGTCATTTAGGATGGTTTCTTGGCACACCTTGGCAGAAGTTTTCACACCCTTTTCACAGAAATAAAGCTTGGTAACGCCGTGGTAGGACACCCCCCACCAAACCATCACTGACGCGGGGTGGTGGCCTCTCTGAACTCTTTCTACGACTTGGGACGCTTCTTTAGAATTGTGGGCGTAAACACGGTCATTTTGCTTGTTGAAATGTTCTTCAATGGTGAAAATTTTCTCGTCAGTAAACAAAATGTTCCTGTGCTTTCCACCTGCGTAACGAACGAGCAACTGTTTTGATCTTTCTACCCTTTTCGTCATTAAAGCTCGATTGAGGGTATGTCCGGTATATCGACGGTAAGCCCCAAGTTTTAGGTCATCTTTGATTATTCGGGACAGAGTCCAAGGCTTGATCTTCATTTTACGGGATAAAATCTTCTGCTTTCTCAAGGGATTTCGTCGAATTCTGACTCGGACCGCGTTGATAGCCTGTGTGGTTCGAGCAGTACGGAGACGGCCTGATCTCTTATGGACATCAATAGAGGAGGTCTCTACGAACCTATTGATGGTACGATACACAAACATCCGACTGATACCTAGCTTCTGTAGGATCTTATAAATCACAGAAGGCTCAATTCCCTCCTTATGCAGTGCATTAACAGTGATTCTATCTTCTTTAACACCCCACTCCATTTTAAAATATTTAATTTATGACAAAAATCTTGTTGTTTTACAAAGACTAACTCTTAATAAATAAAATGGCATAGCAGCGTTCCAAATTCGAAATTCAAAAATTTGGAAAATCTTTACTTTTACAATTGTAACAGAATTTATGGCCAGACTAGGTAAATAGCTTGCATGGAGATAGGTTAAATAACAGTTAGCTGGTGCAACGTATCTATGAATAAATAAATATAATATAAACCCTTGAATCTTTTCTATTTCGTGTTATTGTCCAATGCCTACA